CATTTATTCAAAATCATATGTTTGGATTTTTGTATTCATTCGATGAATAAAAGTCTACTTTCAAACAGCCATAACTTTAACTGTATTAAGTTTATGGTAATAATAAAAAACGACTAACTTTGTTTTATAAGCTGCATTTTACATCGGAACAGTTTTCCCGATGAAATCTAAATTTTTAAAGTTATTAGCAAAAAACCAATTAGAATTATACTTTTTTGATGTGTAATTTGTGAACGTAAAAAAGAAAGGACGTTTGTAAAAAAGAAAGGAATAACACCAGCTTTCCGAACAAATAACAACCTAGGCAAATATATTAAAAATAACAAGAGCCAAAATAAAAAACACTTAAATAGTGGTGTGTACAAACTTCAATGTGGCGACTGCCCAAAAACTTACATCGGTCAAACTGGTAAAAACTTTGATAAACGAATAACAGAACATAAAAGTTTCATGAATAGAAAAACAGATTCGACATACGCACTTCACCTTCTAGATCATAATCATTCTTTTACTGACAAATTTAAAATTCTTCTCATTCAAAATAAAAGCCATTCTTTGTTAGAATCTATGGAAATCAACAAATTAAAAAACACAGATATAATTCTGAATGACCAACTTGAGACAAACAGTTCTCCCCTCCTCAACCTATTTCATTAGAGACTATAAATTTGTAAACCCAAGCCAAAAATAGATCACTTGAGAAAGGCAATCAGCTGAAACAGCTGTAATGATAAGTTTTAAAATAATTTTTGTGGAAGTTTGACAACAAAGTTTTCAGTGTTTTATTGTTACATAAAATGAATTTCCATCAAGTAACGATCGAATCCATCAATTAATTTGTGAACATTCAATCACGAATAACTCCAAAAATATCGACTTTTTGAAAAAAAAAACACTTTTGTCTTAAAATTCACTATTCCAGCGACCACCATTGTTTTTTTTTAACTTTTTCATGCATATCCATGCATATAGTTAAAATTCAACGTTTTCTTCTATTTTTACCGTCATATTTTGGACTATAACGTTTCTAGTTATTCCTGTCAAGCACCCCTGACGTATACTCTATGTAATATCATTATTTAAAAATTTCTCCTTAGTTTTAATTTTCATTTGTAGCACTGATTTGAAGAGCAAGATTTGTGGCGTAGACCTTACAACTTTGAGTTATATAAAAACTTTGGATAAGATGATGTGAAATTCATTAAAGTAGCATGCCTCAGATAGTTATTACATCCATAAATGCATGTAAGCATTGTAATCAGAAGAGAGAAAGATGCGACGGTGAGAAAAGTATTTGACCAAAGAGGAGCAGTGGGACAACGTACTAAAAGTAGAGGTAGATCGAAACTTAGGTACCCGAACAACTTGGCAGACGATTAAAAATACATTGAAGTTAAAGGATGGAGCAGAGTTGCTAGAGATAGAAGAATTATATATTTTAAGTTACGATTAGTTGGAATTAAATTATTGTAGTAAAATTAAAAATGCATAAAATGTGTAACGTACTGGGGTTGAAAAGAGAAATAGGTCGGGGTGCAAGTTAGTTCACCTTGCAAACCAAGTGCTCAAGTGTATTGAACGACCAACGTTAAGCTTTAGGATGTGGTTTAATAGATTTAAGAAGGGGGTATATTTAAAAAATTTGAGATGATTGAAATGTACCAATGAAAACGAGGGAATTCGGTAAAAAACATAAGGAGAAAAATAAAGCGCGCCACCTAGTCCTTTGTTAAAGGACTAGGTGGCTAATATGTGTGTAATAGGTGGCTTTATAACTAGGTAAAACTACAAAATGAATTTAAATAGTAAAATGAAGTAAAAATACTTAGGCTTTACCTTAGTTATAGCATAATATTATGATATAGACATTATATTTTTTTATAAAATTTTTTTAGATATTAATTAGCTGTACAAAAGGGCACAATAATTCCCTTTGATCACCAGAGTACTGACATGCAAATTGTTAGGCTGTATTTACAAAGATTATTTGGAGATACCAGAAAAAATTAAAAGTGCATATAATGCCCTGTAGAAAAATTTTGCATTTCACACTAGATATACAGGCAAAAGTTAATGAATACGTTACAAAGTTTAAAATGCAAAAAGTTAGACATGTTTGCCAAAAAAAACAGTCGTCTTTGCAGGTTTGAATTCAGTCACATCTCACGAACAGAAAGAGGCAGTAGAAAGAACTATTGTTGTTTAAATAGTTCGATGTAACTACAAAAAACAAACTTTCAAAGTGATGTCTAACAAAATACCGTTTGTTATTTTACGTACTACCAACCATATTACCAACTTTAAATTGAGAGGGAAATTTAAAAAAGTTCATTATATCAAACAATAAAAAGAAAATAGTATTTAGTAAGTAGGTTTAGAAAAAACAAACAACCAAAAAACAAAATGAACTATCTGAATAATAACTGAAGTTCATCATGATAATTATAGCAATTAATAAAGGAATTTAAGAAACAAGACAAGAACACTCTGAGATGCAGAAAAGCTCAGTCAAAAGTCTACAGTCATTTTAAACTAAATAAACCCACTCGTGCTTTGGCAGAATATACTATCGATCTACACCATAAGATAGATTTCAACAATGTAAAAATATTAGCCAGAGAAAAAAATAAATTTAAGAGAACATTCTTAGAAATGGTACATATCAGCAAGAATGATGACAACAATCTGAATAAAAGATCTGTGATCCAGAATTTTAGCAAAATTTACAATTTTATTTTGACTTTTGACTGAGCTTTTCTGCATCTCAGTGTTCTTGTCTTGTTTCTTAAATTCCTTTATTAATTGCTATAATTATCATGATGAACTTCAGTTATTATTCAGATAAATCATTTTGTTTTTTGGTTGTTTGTGTTTGTTTTTTCTAAACCTACTTACTAAATACTATTTTCTTTTTATTGTTTGATATAAGGAACTTTTTTAAATTTCCCTCTCAATTTAAAGTTGGTAATATGGTTGGTAGTACGTAAAATCACAAACGGTATTTTGTTAGACATCACTTTGAAAGTTTGTTTTTTGTAGTTACATCGAACTATTTAAACAACAATAGTTCCTCCTACTGCCTCTTTCTGTTCGTGAGATGTGACTGAATTCAAACCTGCAAAGACGACTGTTTTTTTGTCAAACATGTCGTCTAACTTTTTGCATTTTAAACTTTGTAACGTATTTATTAACTTTTAAGTTATTTTTAAATTTTAATAGTTTTAATGCCTTCAGCAATTCATGTCATATTATGTTATTTAACGTTGTTTATATATGCTACGAATCTTACTTTCTGGTAAGTTTTTATAACTTTTATATTGCATCAGTCAAAGTTTATAACACAGTAATTTTCATTGTAGACCTTGATAAAGGTGGCAAACAACCACCGAAAGCTCGGATTCAGAATAAATAGTACGCCTTAGCAAAGCTTTATTTTTTATTGACTACCACACCCAAAAAGAAAAAAGTATTTACATATATATATATATATATATATATATATATATATATATATATATATATATATATATATATATTCAGTTGACCAGAAAGATGATATTTAGAGATCTTATTTCCAACATTCGGGCAAGTGTTATAAAATTAATTTTAACTTACATAATATTGCTGTAGACTTCACTGACCAATTTTCATCTGAATGAAAACTTATCACATAAGAGAGCACATTAAAACTTATCACAGAGTAGTGGCATGAACCACTCTGATGAAACCTAAAGAGGTCGAAATACAAATAAGTGGCTTGCCGCTGCCCAGCATTTAAACAAAAATTTAATACCGTCATTATGTTTTATTTCTGTACTCTGGAGTACCAGAAACTGAATTTACTACGAATTTTGACAATGATGAGCGCCAGGTGAAATGCATATTTGAGATTCCCTTGCCGAGTAATTTATCAAGCTGTTTGGTTTGCAAGTTGTAGAAGGCACAGTGGTAAAAATTTGAAGTCAGTTTCTCCAGAGAGGAAATGGTATGATTTCTCTTGTTGTTAAAACTTATCACTTTATTTTATCATTGTTTAACTATTGTACTTAGATATTCGTAGTATTGTACTACATTATCAATTTTTCCATCTTTCTTACGAAATATGTGCCCAACTGCGACAAAAACTAAAAACAGGCCATGCCTGAGCTGGACTCCAATACTCCATCGTACCCTGACCAACATCGAAGTCATCGATGATAAAATTTGGACATCCACAATGAAAGCGACCGTTGTCACGGCTACTCCCCAAGAATTGAAAATCGTCACCAAAAATCATTGTATTGCCAGGCTAAAAGATTTTTTTTATTTCCTGCGTAAATATCTGGGCGGAATCAAAATGAAACGAAAGAGATATTTTTATTATACTCCTATTATACATACTCCAAAATGTTTAGAATATCAATCTTACATGCAAAAAGATTTAGAATATTTTTCGGTGGTTATGATATACGGCGTGAAACGAAATTGCTACAGTGTAACAAATTTTTTAATGACCACCAAATTGACTATCGTGAATGTTAATAAATCAATAAAAAATGATCTGAATTAAGTTGCTTATCTTTTTCGATTTGCACAAATCTTAAAATTTTGATCAATTTAGCTTAATGTCTTAAGCCAAAGAAAGTATTTAACAAAACACATGACAACTTAAAAATATTATTAGGCAAGTTTTTTAACGATCATAAAGTACTAAAATATAAAGAAGTATAATTTAATATTTAGGAAATGTAGGTATATAATTAAAACCTTAATAACTTTTCTATAAATTTGTAACTACATCATAAGTAAAGAATTATTTTTATGTTAAAGTAATTCTTACTAATATAAACATTAAAACAAGTGTTTTACTCACCTAATTATACTAAAGGATGTAATTAGATATCAGTTTAAATAAAACGCTTCTTGAATAATTAAAGATGTATATATTTACATAGAAATTACTACAATAAATGACTGACTATAATACATACAGTATATATATACTACCTACAATAAATAATTTAATGGACTCTACTAGTACCCATTTCCATAGCCCCAAAGTACGGATATCCTGACTTTGCTTCGCTTGCAGAATGGGCTCCTGCGTAATGTGTTCCCGAAGCCAATAGACTGAAACAGAGAAAATAATGAATTAGATACGGTTTTGTAAACCAAATTTTATAAAAGTGGATATATATATATATATATATATATATATATATATATATATATATATATATATATATATATGTATACTTTCTTCAAAAATAAGAAAACACGTTAATTTATATTGGGGAGGGGGACGAACCGAACTCTTATGCAAAATTCATGTCCTCAAATGTAACCTCATACTGGCGTGTATCAACCCCTAGTTTTTTTAAATAGTAAGTGTGGTCGAGTGGCACATCATTTAAAAGGCAAGGAAAAAGAATTTTTTCTCTACACGACACTATTTTTTTTGCGTAATAACTTTGAAGATAATTTCCAATTTAACTAATTTATTGGTTGAATATCAATAATAATACTAAAACATAAAATTTCACCAAATCAACCAATGAAATGTTCTTAGTGAGCCCCAACACAATAATTCAATCAACCTGCAAATCGATATCAATACGCCACTGTGAGAAAAGATAATGTTTTTCTTTTATAAAAATATCACTTTTTCGTCTGAATTTTTTAAGATAATGAATCCTGATTATCGTCTTTAGTGTTTACTAGGTTACCTTAGATTTGACATTTGTCAACGACTGATTAATCAGAGATATTATTGTAAAGTCTAACAAAAATAGGATATTCTCCTGAAGAAAGAATAAAATTATTTATTATTATAAGCTATACTATGGAAATAATTAGTGTGTTAAGGCTACGCAAAGATCTACCACCTAGAGAAAAACGTAAGTCACCAATACGTTAAACATTTAACTAATAAGTTTAAAGTTATAGGTGAGGCAAACAACACAAAGCGCGATGTAGACCGTCTAGTCCGAAATGAAGCAGTTGAAGTGGCATTTTTGGATCATTTTCAAATGGATAATCGACAGTCTGTTAGACAACTATCTCGTGCATCTAGTGTATCAGCATCTAGTGTTTATTGAATTACAAAATCTCATAAATTTCACACTTATAAAATAGGATTACTTCATCAACGAAACGAAGATCCTGATCGTCGGTGAAGTTTAGTGAAATTATAAATAACAACCAACATCGATTGTACAATACAATATTTTTCCGACGAGTATACTTTTATGTTAAATGGTGCAGTTAATAGACATAATTGTCGTTATTGTAGTAACAGTAATCTTCATTTATTCATGGAGACAGTCACACAAACAGCTCAGAAATTAAATGTAGGGTTTGGCATTTTAGGGAATCACGTTATTTTAACATTAATTCATGAAGGAAATCTCAAAGTAAAAACCTATTTAAATTTGTTAGAAGTTGTTATTGATCGGATGATCACTGATACATTGGAATCTGATAATAATCTTTAAGAGAATGAACTGACTTTCCAAACCCTAAAATCAAAAATATATGCCACTCCGCCAGCAGATCTTGCAGATTTGCGACAAATAATTGTGACAGAATGCTGATTATTGACACCGGAGATCTTTGAAAATGTACAGAGAGGCTTTGAAAATATACTGTATTATTGTATGGAGGTCTTTCTTTCTTTATGTGCCGTCTTCTACCTAAGGTTGGCGACCATCATACGATAGGTTTCTCTGTTTTGTGCCGCATGAATTATGTTCGCAGCTTCTGGTATTTGAAACCATTCTCTCAAAGTTTCTCAGCCAGGATTTCTTCTTTCTGCCCAAACCTCTTCTACCTTCAATCTTGCCTTCCACGATAAGCTGTAGCAGACTGTACTTATCATTACGGAACACATGGCCCAGGTATGACGCTTTCCTCCTTTTAACAGTTGTTAACAATTCCACCTCTTTACCCATTCGTCTTAATACCTCTGTGTTGGTCACTCTGTCTGTCCAAGGTATTCTCAGTATGCGTCGATACAGCCACATTTATAGAGCCGCTAACTTCTTTATAGTTGCTGCTGTTAACGTCCACCCTTCTACGCCGTAAAGTAGCGTAGAGAGTACGTAGCATTTCGTGGCGCGCCATCGGAGGTTAATGCTTAGGATGCGATTGCTTAAGAGCTTTCTCATTTTGATGAATTTGGATCTTGCTATTTCAATTCGGATCTTAATCTCTACTTCTGGGTCCCACTTGTCATTTACTGAATATCCCAGATATTTAAATCGGTGTACTCTTTCAATACGTTCGTCTTCAATATGCAGGTCGATATGTTGAAATTTTTTTTTACTGATTACCATAAATTTAGTTTTCTTTCTATTGATCTTCAGTCCAAATCGGCTGCGAGTTGTATTAACTCTATGTAGCATCATCTGTAAATCTTCGATGTTATCGGCCAGTATAATAGTATCATCTGCATATCGAAAATTACTTATTGGTACGCCATTAATCTTGATGCCCTCATTGTACTCTTCTAGTGCCTCTAGAAATATTTGTTCCGTGTACAGTTTGAAAAGCAGTGGCGAAAGAATACAGCCCTGTCTTACCCCTCTAGAAATGGTTATGTTTTCACTCACCATATATCCATTCTTCATGTGGGCTGTTTGATTCCAATATAGATTTTTTATAATCTGGATGTCCTTAGTGTCAAGTCCTGAAAGACGTAATAGTTCTATGAGTTTGTCATGTTTGATAGTATCGAATGCTTTCTCATAGTCGATAAAACAGACGTAAACATCTTTCTGTTGATCCAGGCATTTTTGAATCAAAACTTGTATTGCAAAGAGGGGTTCTCGAGTTCCAAAACCGCATCTAAAACCGAACTGTGTTTTACTTATGCTGTGTTCTAATTTTGCTCGTATTCTGGAATGGATAATACGCAAAAATACTTTAAGGTTGTGGCTCATTAAACTTATAAGGCGATATTCACTACACGTCTTAGAATTATATTTCTTGGGAAGGGGCACAAATGTAGATTTCAACCAGTCCGATGGAATTTGACCAGTATCGTATATCTTATTAAACAGTTCCAATACTACATTCAGGTTGTTCTCGTTAAAAACTTTTAAGAATTCGACTGGTATTACATCGCATCCTGTTGCTTTCCCATCTTTCGTTTGATCTATAGCTTTTATCACCTCACTTTTCAATATTTTTGGTCCATTCAGATCAAGAGTGTTCGTAGAAATATGACGATAATCCTTAAACAAATCTTTTATGTAGATTGCCCAAGTCTGTAACTGTTCTTCTTTATCTACAATAAGTTTATTGTTCTCGTCCATTAACCTACCAAACTGTTTTTTCTTGTAAGTATAAGTAAACTCCTTGATTTTTTTATGCATGTTAAAACTATCGTGTCTTCGTTCTAGCTCTTCTATCTCTTGACATTTTTCTTGCAACCATTTCTCTTTGGATTCTTTTATCTTTCTGCTGACAGTTCTATTTAGTTCTTTATATTGTTCGGGATTATTCTTATTTTCCCTCCTTCTGTCCATAAGGTGTAATATTTCATCTGTCATCCACTCGTTCTTCTTCTTCCGCTCGGAGTCACCAATTACTTCTTTTGCACCGTTGCATATAGCGTCCCTTAAGTTGATCCAGTCTCTTTCAATATCATCAGTGTTGGTTGTTAAAGCAACATTACTATTAATGCTATTTGTAAGCTTGGCTTTTATCTCAGTTTGTCCATATCTAATCTTTTGTTATTCTGTTTCTGGATTATGGTTTTTAGTCTTACTCGTAATTGGGCTACAAGAGGATTATGATCAGAGTTTATATCAGCTCCAGGATATGTTTTGGCTGATATTATTGCGTTACGGAATCGTTTGTTAATTGTTATGAAGTCTATTTGATTTCTAACGATGTACCCAGACCTATCCTGTGGTGACTTCCAAGTGTACAATCTTCTTACTGGTAGCTTAAACCAAGTATTTGTGATAATTAAATTTTTCTCCTGGCAAAACTGTATTAGTCGATCACCTCGTTCATTTCTTGTTCCCAACCCATACTTGCCAACTACGTCACTGACTTCGCCTTTTCCTATTTTGGAGTTGAAATCTCCCATTACCATGGTTATGTCTTGTTTCTTTAGGTTTTTTATGATGTCGTCTAACTGTTCGTAAAACTCTTCAACTTCTTCATCCGTACTCTCCGATGTGGGAGCATAAACCTGAATTATATTTATGTCTAGAGGGTGCGCACTTAGCTGGATTAACATGCAGCGTTCTGAATATAGAATAAAAATTTTTATATGTTTTCTGATGTTATTATTTACTAGAACCGCTACTCCATGCCTATGGTTGACATCTTCTTCTCTGCTGCCTGAAAAAAATATTGTGTATTGTATGGAGGTCACAGGATGTTATTTCGAACATTTAATTAGTAAACTTGATGAACTCTTATGTTTTTGTTATTACTGATATTCAGCTAATAAACTAGTAATATCCGAAATTTTTTTCAAAGTTATTCCGTAAATTAAAAAAATAGAGTGTCTTGTGAAGAAAAAAAAATACCTTTCAAATGTGATGCCACGCAACCACACGTGCTATTTAAAATAAACTGGGGGTTGATGCGACAGTAGGGGATTACATTTGAGGGCACCAATTTTGCATGAAAATTTGTCCCCCTCCCAATATAAATTAACGTGTTTTTTTAAATTTTTTGAGTTTTTGGAAAGGGGTTGTCAAATTTTTGTTGGAACACACTGTATATATATATATATATATATATATATATATATATATATATATATTAATTTTATAAATAATAAAGTCACTTAAGGTCAGGTTATGTATCACAAGTGTTTAATTATGTAAAATTTATGGTTAGATCACACCATGAGATTTTAGACCTTAAAACGCTAATATTTTTGTATTAAAAGAGTAACCCAAAGTTCTGTGAGTATACGTAGAAGTTTGAATTCGATTCGAACTATGTCCATTTGCTACAGATCATGTCATCGGCATAGTCGGTAATCTGTATTGAATTATTTGTTTTGAGATTTATTTACATAGTTTTGAGATTTATTGTTCATAGTTTTTACATGTATTATGACATTTTTTATAAAGAATATAGTTTTGTTTTCTTTTCAGAAAATT